GCTCCTTCGGGGCCTCCCGCCCCCTGTCTGGCAGCCGGTCGAAGCCCTCGGGCAGCGGGGGCCGGTAGCGGTACTGGTAGCCGTAGGCCCGCAGGTGGTAGGTGTAGTACTCCAGGGCGTACATGAGCTGGGCGTCCACATAGTGGAAGGAGATGGCCAGGTCCGAGCAGCACTGCGGGCCCTAGAGGAACAACATAATGAGCAACGTGAAGGGGGCGCAAGCTCAGGTCTCGCCACTGGAGGACTGAGGTTAGAGACAAGAAAGAGCTCCAAGAGTCTCTCACACTCTCTCACACTCTCTCACACTCTCTCACACAGCTTTCAACATGCTTAAGAGCTGGAAACAGCAAAACTTCCACTCTCAAGATCACAGCTGGATCATCACCCATCATCTAGATCAGGGCTTCCCCCGTCCTGGGCCTGGTGACCCCCATATCTGCCCTTGTTCCAGTCCAATTACAGAATCAATCGGGCATCTGGGGAGCCCAAGAGGAAATAACCCAGCTCAGCTCTCAGAATCTCCCATTTCTCTCGCAATCAAACCCCCAACCGACTTCATACCAGGATCATTTTTGCCATTCTCAGCTCTTAATATTGTTGGAAGTTGCCTTTCACAAGTTAAATGAAAATCCTTAAGTTTGGAGTAAAAAAAGCTGCAAATATTCCACATAAGCAACTTGCTCGTTTGACTGAGGCCTTAATGAGGTAATTAAGCTGGGCTGAAGACCAGCTGGTGTGCGGTCCTCGGGCCCAGAGGCGCCCATATGTAGGGAATGATGTTGGGCGGTCATCTGTCAACTTCGGATTTTTGTGGTTGGCACAAAGATGCCCCCCCCAGATGCCAGGGGGTTAAACCCCTGCAATAGTACCACTGCCTGTTCTGATGTAGACCATGAGGGAGTGTGCCACTTCCTGATGGATTACAACCAATCACACTATGCCTTATCAATACAATTGTACGGGCAGCACTGTGATGGAGCAGCGTCGCCAACTGAAACTGCAGACGGCCCCGCAATCCAATTACCGAATCCACAGGGCATCCGAGGTGCCCAAGAGGAAACAATCCCACTAATGACGGCTTTCATTCCTGGCTCCTGACGACGTGCCCTAGCAGGATCACAGAGGATCCTGGTGTTATCCGACATGAGCCGATACTTGACGCTCAAGGGTGTAGCTCAGCGGCGCAGTGGTGAGCACGCCTCGTGTAGCAGGGCCCCCCCCCCCACTGTGTTCAGTTCCGGACCTGGGGCGCTATCTGCGTGGAGTTTGTATGTTCTCCCCGTGTTCGCGTGGGTGTTCTCCGGGTGCTCCGGTTTTCCCGAAAGCTGGCCCTGGTGTGGGAACTGCAGCAGCAGCCGCCCAGCGAGCACAGAGAGGGAAGGAACTTGCCTCCACGATGGGGTAGAAGCAGTAGTTCCAGTACCAGAAGCTCTTGGAGAACTTGCCGGTCAGGTGGTGCTCGGGGACGAACGGGTGGAAGGTCTCCCGGTGGAGGGTGTCCCTGGAGTCGCCCGCCAGGACGCCCATCTTCTCCATGCACTGGCCGAGCGCCAGGTCCTCCACGGAGGTGGTGTGGGAGCACACCTTGGTGCGGAAGCCCTCCACGAAGCGGTGCAGGGCCTCCCTGCTGAGGACGTAGCCCGCGCCGCCGCTCATGTAGCCCTGCTTGGCGTAGGGCTTGAAGCGCTTGCCGAAGTAGATGGGCTCCTCGGGGGTGTGGTTGGCCAGCACCCAGCGCAGGTTGTCCACCACCACGAAGGTGTCGTCGTCGGCCTTGAGGAACCAGTCCGCCTCGGCCGCGTGGTGCTCGTGGACGTAGTGGAAGGCGCGGATGGTCTTCCAGTAGAGCTGGTCGCGCCCCTCGCCCGTCTTCAGCCCCACCGTGGGGAAGTCGGGGTCGTCCACGGAGCTCATGAACACCAGCACGTTGCAGTGGCGGCTCCAGGTGGCCTTCACGTGCCGCGCCTTGGTCTCCAGGTTGTTGGGGCCCGTCATCACCCAGCACAGGATGCGCACCTTCCTGTACAGGTCGTCCGCCACTCGGCTGTCTTCCCCTGGGGAAACGAGCATAAAAAAAAAAAACGGAACGCTTGAAGAATCGCTCTCTGCCCTGCCCTGCCCCGCCTCGCCCCGACTGCAGCTGATCCACCTTCGATCTGCAGCCCCAGCCTGGCACCGCCGGCCGGACGTCCCTGCTGGCACAGACGCAGGCCCGGTGTATCTGCTGCCCCCTTCCCTGTAACGATTCCCGCTGGAACAGAGTGCTTCTGGACGCTCTGCCGCTAAGCAAGAGAAGGAGGCAGAGCCCCGACATCTCAGATTTCACTTCCAAATTCCCCCTGCTCTCCTGGCACGGCAGCCTTCACTGGCAAGTCTAGATGGAGGACAGGAGGCCCCCGTTTCCTTTCATCTCCAGAATCACTCAAGACAGGGCGGGACGGAGCCCTGCGGGGGACCAGCTTCTCAATCCCGCCCGCTCCTGAAATATTTTACTTCATGTGCAGCACTATTCCGCAGTACCAGCCCCACACTCTTGCTTGGTTTTAAAAAAAGGGGGAGGTTCTTTTATATTTCAGTATTGTAGATGTATGAAGCCAAAAAGCACACAAAATCGCTAATTACACCATAAATAACATGTACCAGAGAGTAAAAGTGGAAATTACAAGGAAATGCACTCAAAACCAAGAACAGGAGGCACTGCTTTACACCAAGAGTGGTGGGGGTCTGGAACTAGGTACCCAGCCATGATGCTGAAGCCATGCTGAAGAAACAGCAGGATGAGAATTTGGGATCAATGACCAAACACTCTAGATTGGCTCCCCTTGTCTTTAATTGTGCGTTGTGTTCTTCAAATAAAACCGGTTAAACATGCAATTCAAAAAAAACATCTACAATTTCGAGTTTGGGTTGACCAATTTCTTACTGTGAGACTGTGGAACGAGTGATGTCCTGTCAGTTCACACTTTCCAAATAAGAAGCATGGTTGCGGTACTTAATTTACATGAATATCAAAAGATAACATACATTGTAGGAAATTCCCTAAGGCATACGAAACACCAACAACACCCATCGTAAACGATTCAACGCTTCACCTACTCCTTAGGGCACCATTAATACTCCTAAGTATTAAAACGAGGATGTATAATTTTGTTTTGTGCATTTCATTGTTATCGAGGGGAAAGTTCAGTATTTCTGATTTTGAAGACATAATTCCCCTTCAGCAGATTCTGTCCGTTTAATCCGAAGTCTGTTCAACCCAGGGTTTACTGTTCTATCAGAGCAGCCTGCACGAGGGGCCTCCTGTCCTGGGCGCTGTCCGTTAGATTCCAGGAACAGTACTTTCCAAGGAAGAGGGAGGTACAGCTCCACCGGCCCCAGACTCTGTTAATGATGAATCAGCATGAAACGGTGGCTGGAGAGACATGCATACCTGCACAGGGTATCAAGTTCAGCCCTTTCACAGACTGTGGGGATCTGCCAGAACAGAATCTAGTGGGTTTCTCCAATAGCCGTGCTCACAAGCTGCACACACATTGTAACAGCTCACAGGGGCCCTCACACAGGGAGCAGAGCGCCTGCCTCCCATGCAGCACTGGAACCGCAGCCATGAAGTCGAGCCCTAAACGGCTCATGAGACCAGAACGAAAAAACCCCAAATCAGCAGCCCTAACTGTGTTTAAAATACAGCCCTCGGGGCGGCATGGTAGCGCAGTGGGTAGCTGTGCTGGGACCCTGGGTTCAATTCCTGGGGTGCTGTCTGTGTGGAGTTTGTATGTTCTCTCTGCGTTCGTGTGGGCTGCCTCTGGGTGCTCCTGTTTCTTCCCACCACAATCCAAATACAAACTGGTAGATTTAACTGGTTTCGGGAAAACTGGCCCTTCTGTGACCCTGTGTGCCCTGTGATGGACTGGCGTCCTGTCCAGGGTGTACCCTGCCTTTTGCCTGTTGCTTGCCGAGATAGGCTCCGAATTCCCCCGTGACCCTCCACTGGACAAAGGAATGAATGAATTACTAGAGGATGGGGCCCCTGTACCTTGGAGGTGAGGGTGTTTCAGGTTGATGAGCGCCGACCCCTCCACTTTCCAACTGTCACTCCCCGTGCCCTCCGCCACCAGTGCCAGTCCCAGGCCATCGGTCTGCGGCACGTAGCTCTTCTCAAACCACACCTGGCGCAGGAAGAAGTACAGCATGCAGCTGCCCACCAGGAAGCCCAGGTAGAAGGCACACCTGGAGCTCAAGGCTGGCATCCTGCGTGCTCACTGCAGAGTCTCTCGGTTGCTCTTGGTCCCCCCCGTCTCACTCTCTCAGCATGTCTGCAAGAGGTTAGAAGAGAAAGGAACAAAATCACTCCACCTTGATGGGGGGTAAAACAGGCAGGTCACAGATTCCTGTGGGCTCAAAGCCACTGTTTCCATCTCTACACAACTAACACACTAACTAGAGGACACAAGTGGAAACTACACTGACGTGCATTTAAAACCGAACAGGAGGTGCTTACTCACACCAAAATATATTTAAAAGAGGCTGAAAGCACAGATAAGGAACACGGTGTGCTTAGAACACGGTCCAAATGCCTACGAAAGAAAAATGTAAATCTAGGAAAAGTGTGAAGAATCTATTCTTGCTTCTTGTCGGTTCTCCCAGGAGCCAATTAACCCGCCAGCATGTCTCTGGGCTGCGGGAGGAAGCCGGAGCACCTGGTGGAAACCCATGCAAAGCGTCGGAGAACACGCAAACTCCCCCGGAAGGGAACCCCGGGCCCCAGTGCCGCAAGGCAACAACGTTAAACACCGTGCCACCTTCCTGCCACTCTCTGAGAATTTGATCACTTCTTAATTCCCTTCCGTGACTCTCAGCAGGAAAAAGCAGCTTCCAGGTCACGGACGGATAGAAGGAGGATGTCTGCTCATGCACTACAGGAAACGCCTGATGGACAAACATGTGGAGAGCAGCCTGTTGCGTTACCCTTTAGGGGGCAGACCTGAACCGACCACTAGATCAGGGGCTCCTAGTTCAACGCCTGCTGTTTTGTTTTTTTAATCCTCTGCATGCATGTGTATGTTTTTTGTGTTAAAGGGGTCATGTTGTGCTAAATCCATTATGTATTGTGAATGGTTTATTCTGCTGCCTCACAGGTCTTGGGTCCCGGGTTTGATTCCAGACTGGGGAGCCTTCTGTGAGGAGTCTGCGTGTGGGTCTTCTGCAGTTCCCCCCGTGACCCCCCCTCGTGACGGGCTGACGCCCCATCCTGGGCGAGAGCAGCGTTGTCGCCCACTGTGCCACCACCCTCTCCAGAACAAGAGGGCCGCGCAGGCCCATGTACATAAAACCCCTAATATTTCTGGATATTCCAAGCCCCCCCTCCCCAGCAACGGTTTGATGTGCAAGTGTGACCGTCGCGGTTCCGCGCGGTCTCCTGCCCTCCGCCGCTCCACCCCGCCAGTTAGTCCCGCGGCACCCGGGTCTCCGGCGTAACGCTACAGGGCAGCAGCCGCATGAGCTAAAGGAGATCTCCCCCAGCCCAGGCGGCTGAGGTCCCCGCTACGCGCAGGGAGGGCGATGACGTCACCGTATTCGAACTAGCTCCGCTACACGAGCTGAGCTGCTCTCCCCCCATGACTGAGCTGGCTGATCCTGTCTGGCCAGAGGCAGGCACCACACCTACTGTACACAGCAGCACTCAGGGATCCATTGTCACAGAGCTGGTATTTTAAGCTCCAGCGGAACTCGTCTGTCTAGCTGCAGAACCTGTAGTGCAGCTACACCGGTCTGGCCCCGATTGCGGACTAGAGATCAGCTGGCCGACAGCAGGAGCCCACTTCTCCAACACGCCCGTGACAAACGCGCACCCTGCTCTGGTTCTGGAGAGGGGGTCTACTGTGTCACCCCCTGGCATACTAACCCCGTATCCACACTCTAGACCCCTCTTCTCTACAACAGAGGACCAGACACAGAAATCGCCCCAAGCTCTCTCTCCTGCCCATCAGATCCAATGTCCTTCCAGTGACAGCCACTACCAGAACAGCACGTCTACACACCAGAGAAGCCCATACAGCCCAGCCAGCCTTTTCGGGAATTAGCATGGAACTGCTTCTCCCAGAAGCGAATTTACCTGCCAGCACATCTCTGGAAGAAAACAAAGCACCGAGAGGAAACTCACACAAAAAAAAAAAGAAGAACATGCAAACTCCACACACACAGTACCCCAGGGATTGAACCCGGGTCCCCAGTGCTGTGAGGCAGCAATGCTGACCAGTGCCACCCTGCTGCTTGACTAACTTTCTCTATTGGTTCAGTAGAACTGAAACTAAAGCCGTCTTTATTCACGACCTTACTTATGGCTGCACACTAAATCACAATTCCAACGCATCACAAAGTAAGAATGAAGCGACAGGAGTAAAGAAATTCAGTTTGGTTAAAAGAAGATGAAAAAACCCGTCTGCGTGTCTCAGATGTTTCTGGACACTCCTTAACGGTACAATAACCCACAGATGTTGCCGTGTTACTTTCTTGTTTCAGGAAAGCAAGACACTAACACATGTTGCACGTAGACATCAGAAAGCTAGGAAGTTGCTAGACTAGCATTAAAAACAAAGTACAAAAAACAAACTGTCATCTATCAACCGAGATCTGTGGAAGTTATCCGCCGGCCCGCAGGTAATCCGGTCTGGCTGCTGCAGGCGCACTCTAATGAGACACGTCAGAGCGAGAAAGGGAGTTTGTGGCTACTTGTGGTGACGCCGGACACACGGTGGCCGTGCAGCGCAGATGTCAACACCTCAGTGCGGAAAACGGGAGTTCGTAGTTTCGGCCCAGGACTGAGCTCCCCCCGGGTCCGGACAGCCGGCCGATTTCGTGCAGATCTGCGACGACCCGGCCCTCGGAGTCCGGCCCCGGCGAAAATACCGAATAACACCCCCGACACATGACCCCCGGGGTGTCGGAGCTGTGCCCGTACAGCGGACAGCCCCCACTAGCGACCCCCCCGGCTCCTACCTGGGGACAGGGCGCTCCTCCCCGTCCGCGGCGCCGGGTTTAAGCCCACTGGCTCCCGCAGCGGCGCAGAGCCGCTCTCGCCTGATCACCGGGAAGCCGGTCCTGCCAGCTGCTCCTGCCCGGCCCGGAGCCGTGGGGGACCTACGCCATCCTCCGTGCCCCAGACCCAGCGGAGTGCAGGGAAGCCGCGTAGCTGCCTGAACGGCCCCGGTACTCTTTACCGTAGACACCGAGGGGCACTTCACCCTAGCGGCCGTGCGCTGGCGAAATCCAGACCCCCGAAGCGTGGCTGCTTCGTTTTAAACAGGAATGAGCGAGAAAACGCTTTCTATAGGAGCGCAGAGTTTACAACTCGAGCGTGAGGCCGTACCCCCTGTAGCGTAGGATCATATGAACACAGTATCGGACAAGACCCCTCCCCCCCTCCCGCGCGGCCCTCTTTCCGTAGCAGCTTATTGGTCAGCATCCGTTGCACGCGCACGCCGAAAGCCCGCCTTCCCATGTACAGCGTGCTTTGATAGGCCGCGTGCTTCACGTGACTGCGCCCCCCTCCCCAACCAACAGCATCCGTAACCGGGGGGGGTCGGGAAAGAGGCCGTCGGCGGCGGCGCTGCCCGAGAGGTACTCGGCACCTTTTCAAATCTGTGGGATGACGGTGAGCGTCTGTTAATCCCCCACACCCCAGACATGGGATTAATTAGTTTTGGGCGGTCCGGTCACAACAGGCCCACGCTTCCTGGTCAATTTCTCAATGTTACCCTCCCCCTGAATACTTTTCAGCCCTGAAGGCGAAAACGCCCGACCGCGAAATCTAGGCCTGCCGGGTTTTAAATCTGAAGTACAGCGCCCTGGGCCGTCCTGTCACCACCTGTGAGGATACTTTAAATCAGCCTCAAGTCTTTTCTGTTGAAAGAGATCCTGTTCCTCTCTTGTGGCCGAATCACTCACAGAGACTCGCCACCAAGAGAGCCAGACAGTTTAACCAGGCTGCTAACAGCAGGGAGAGAGACCGAGAGGACAAGAGAGTGGGTTTTAGCTATTTTAATAAACTACCCCTCCACACACACGCACAAAAAAAGAGCTGCGCACACATCAAAACATGTCCCTGTACACATTACCACCCCACCCCGCAAAATTATATACAATTAATTAGAACACGGCTACTATTATTCACATATTGTACAAGAAAAAAAGAGAAAAGCCCTTTTTCTGAAATGTCCAAGTAGCGCAAAAAGGAGCAGGGAGTTGTATGTACACATCTCAGGAAAGCTGAGATTCAGAACGGCTGGAAAGGTTTTAGATCAGGATCCTGTGATCTAGTGCAATACGGTACGGTACGGTACTCCGTTTCACAGGGCTAGAAACGAACGGGTTGTTTAAAATTTTACAAATTTCGGCTTTTAAATAAACCACAAATCGGTCGTTAAACCGGGGCTTTCGGAAACCATATGAAACGGCGGATACAGAAAAAAAATATCATTCATTTGTGAGTTGTATGGCTTATCAGGGCTGCTAATTCATGTATTTTTTATTTATGTTTTTACGGGATTCAGTTGCCTTTCAGAAGATTTGAGAAGGGAGAAGTCTGGTCTGCCACATAAACACCCGTGTCGTCACCGGCAGCATTAATGGTGTAACAGCATACTGAAGCCTGTTGGAGCACGTTGTTTAATGACCGCTTTATAGCGGTAACACCACTATACAATTACATACGCTATCCATTTCAGGTCGTGGAGGAGCTGGAGCCTATCCCAGCAAGCAATGCGTGCAAGGTCAGATACCGTACACTGGCTGGGACACCAATCCATCACATAGTGCACACACACTCACAGCAGGGCCAGTTTTCACTGGAGCCAATTACCCCACCAGCATGGCTCTGGCCTGTGGGAGGAAACCAATGCAACCACAGGGAGGACATGCAAACTCCACCCAGGTGGCACCCCAGAAACTGGACCCCGGGCCCTAGCAGTGTGAGGCAGAAATACTCATCACCGGGCCCACAAGGTGCAGAGTGGTTTAAGTTGTGGAGTGCATCTTATTTTGAGAGTTGCAAAAAATGCTTTTGACAATCATTGCCACCCCTTCCCCATCTTGTATTTCAGTGACTGGGAAACAGTTAGTAATGTGGATTATACACAGCCCTAAAATATTCCCCACTCCTCTGTTCTGTGGAGTCCCCAAGGACTGTAAGGTAGTAGCAGACCAGGCCTTATCCCTCCACTGTGCTGTATGGGGGGGGGGGGACGACTCATAAAGGGAATGATTGCTTGTGGACATGACTCTGGTGCACTGGTAAAGGTAACAAAAAACATAGGGAACAGGTCAATTCAGACAACCTTACAAGACAAGAGGGCTCACAAGGAACCCTCACCAGGGTGCGATAGCTCACACCCTTGGGCTCACAAGGAGCGATGACAGAGCTAGCAAAGACACAGGATGCAGAAGAAACACCAGACGCAGGTCTCACCCAGAGCAGGGAGATTGGCCAGTTTGCATGATCCTGTATCTCCAGGGACATCAGTGAGCATCTAGTGTAACCAATATAGGTGCACACTGCTGTAATCACTGCTGGAGGTGAATGGATGAGCGAGTCCCGTATTCTCGAATGGTTTAGCATGGTAGTATAGGCACACACACACACAAATGGCTCCAAAAGGCAGCAGCTCCTTCGTCAATGTATCTACCCCTGCAGAACACAAACTGGGACACCTCCTTAGGGTGAGAAAAGTTTCCCTGTAGCCCAGCACCCAACCCTCGCAGGAGACCACCGCCAAGGCAATTCGGGACATCCAGGCGTAGAGAGAGCATTCTCTTTAAAGGTCTGTCACGAGCATCACACACAAAGCGATGTGTGCAGACGGGGGCAACACTGTGCCATCAGACCCACAGGAACAGGAGAGGGGCGGCTCTAATTCCACAAAGCGAGCCAGGCAGGGGACCGGGCAAGGCTGCAGTTCATTCATCAGCAGGTGACTAAGATTAAAAGGAGCTCCTTCCCTCTTCGCCAAGGACATTGCTTCTCCCCAGAGCTCAGTTTGTGGTCCCTGCATTGCTCCAAGTTGGGCTCTAATCCCTTAACGGCACAGCCCATGCGTCCTGGCTGCTTTTCAGCAGGCAGGCTCGCACCCGGCATCGCTTCAGAGGAAACAGCCGCCACTTGACCTCACCCCTCTAAAGGATGAGTGGTGCGGGTGGGGATCCACTCACCTCTGCGTGCGCAGATCCCCCAATCCGCGCACACAACCGCCAGGAGAGAGAAAAATTAGGCACAGGCCAAGTTACAAGCTGCAACGGACTCCATGGCAAATAGATCCCCATCACTGAGAAACAGCAGGAAAAAGAAAGGCTAGAACATTCCAACATCTGACACAAACGTAGGGAATGTGGTAACCTCTCCAGCAAAGAAAAAAATAATTCTTCACAAAGATGTCTTCAAGAGTCTATTGCTGGTGTCCAGTCCAGGCCTGCCCCAGTACTGGAGTGGGTCAGTGT